CTTTCCCATTGTGGTAATACATCTGATAAAAGCCATTGGCTTGTCCCTAAAGCAGATAGGGACGATTGAAGAGGGTATTGCAATGCATGTATATTACTAGGAATAGTACTCAACTTATTCATGGGTATTTCAGTGTCTATACTATTTAAGACTCCTAACCCTGTTCCCAGAATACCGGAAACATCTCTTCTTGTTCTTCTAGTTGTATTAAATGCCCATCGATGAAGCCACGCCGACCATCCGGCATATGACATGCCTAAAAATGATGTACAATCTGGTTTAATAGTTGAAACATTAGTTTGCAATAACATCACTCATTTGAGGGACCATGTTGGATTAAAAATTACCTGTTGCTGACCTGTATTCTTTATAGCATACGGTCCAATTTGATAAATTTGTGGAGAGGTAACACTCTCCAGTTTCCTAGTGGGAGTTATATATGGGACATCAGTTGTATGTTGATTAAAGAGATCCACTTTAAACTCAAAAGATCGTCCTAAGGTGTCTTGTGCCCAAAGGCACGTTATCATTACAGGTTGGGTTAGGGTGAAATTATACTGACAATCTCCTTGTTCAATAACACAGGATTTGCGATCCTTTATACCTGATATAATGTCCATTTTTGAAATTTGGGTAGCTTTTTTGTATTGAGATCCATTTACCATCCAACATTTTACTTCTATATTTTGCCCAGGTTTTCCCCAAATTTGAGGAGTTTGGGTAACATTATCCCATCTCCATTCACTTTTGTCATATGGTCTATTTTCATGTGACACCACTGTCAGCAAGGTTAAATTATTTGCTGGTCCCATAATTCCTGTATATTCTTCATGACCATACCATAAATCACTGTCTGTTATGCCCTCCCCAGGAGAAATAGTTATAAATAGCAAAAGACACACAGATAACAACACAGGAGAGATTGATCTTGACGTTATCAGTGGCTCTTTGTCTGCCTCCTTTCCTGAGTCGGGCTTCGGTCGTGGGTTTTGTATTTTTTCTTGATGAATTCCAAACAGTCATGCCTGAAAACAAAGCACTCAGTTCTTGATTATTTCTCTGCTTTCTCCATCATGTCCCACTTACATCAGGTTTAACTTTTCTGGATGGGACCCACAAAATTTTCCCAGAATTCTTATTTTTTACTGCAGCGTACCCCCTTCCCCATACCAAAATAGACCAGCCTGATTCCCAAATACCACTTTCCACCTTAATCTTAACCGGTGGCCCTTCCTCAATGATTCTTGGCTGCCAATGCTTTTGTATCGGGGTTCTTGTGTTTTCCCCACGCTCAAAATGATTCAACGCATATAGTGCTCGCGCCAAAATCTCCCCTTGTTCTGATACTGGAATTCTTCCCGTATGTCCTTCCCCCTCCCCCAGGACACGAATTTTCTCTCTGAGGAGGCGGTTAGCCCTTTCAACAATAGCTTGACCTTGTGAGTTGCCTGAAATTCCTGTAGTATGTGTGATATTCCAACGGGCCAACCACTCTTTAGACGAACGTGAAGTGAAACGAGCCATTATCTGTTTTTATGTGGTGTGGCATTCCCAGAACCGCTATGGCTGTGGCCCAATGATGTTGTGCCGCCGTAGAGCTGGTACGTTGTGCTGTGTAGCAATAATGACTGTAGAGGACGTATCAACTGTCACTGCGAGCCATTGTCTTGGTGCCATTCGTGGTTCCATTGCAAAGTCTGTCTGCCAAATATCCAATGGGGCGAGACCGCGGGGATTAACCCCCGCCCCTAACGCTGGCACGGAATTACAATATGGACACATCTGCACAATTTCTCTAGCAACTGTAACAGGAATAGAACAAGTTAGAGCTAACGCTTTTGCCCCTATGTGTAATGCAGAATGAAGATCACGAGCCTCTCGCAGGGTATACACCTGCCTCCTAGCCACTCGATCAGCTATGTCATTTCCTTTTGTAAAGAATCCTGGGACCTCAGAATGGCTACGGACGTGAAGGATGGCAACAGGCTCTGACCTAACCACTAAGGCATCTTCCAATAGGGCTGCAGTTATTGTATTGGGTTGTCCCTCTTTGCCCATACGCAATAACATCCTAGCTATGAATGCAGAATCAGTAACAATGTTACAGGGTGTCTGTTGCCGTACGCGCTGCTGACAACAGGTGTCTGAGGCCAAAGACGCAACGAGACTGCCACCACTCTGGCTTCAAGCATTTGAACACTTGCCGAGCAATCAATTATCACCTTAGACTCCCATTTGCCATCCTGAACTTGCCAGACAGCTACTCCTTGTCCAGTAGCTGAAGAAGCATCAGTAAAAATCGTCGGGCCGTCCACAGGGGTATCCAGCACTCTACACTGCAGTGTTATCTGGAGAGGCCTTGCTAGATCAAAGATAGGCAGCGAGTCTGTGTAGCTAAGATTACCACTGAAATCGTAGAGAACAAGGAAGACCTCCTCTGGCAAAGGCTGAACGTTCCGAAAGGTTCCTGGTAAGTATATAATATCAAGGTCCTTTCCAAAGGCCCTTATCGCAGTAAGACGGGCTTTACGTAACAAAAATGAGAGTTGTTCTAACCACGAGATAAATGCTTTTGTCGGCTGAACAGAAAACAACCAGCATAATGGGTGAGGACGAGAGCTAAGGGTATGCCCTATCACAGCTGCTGACCCCTCCTGGCATCTAGTCACTGCGCCTTCTAGTGGCTGGTCTGAATTCCACCTCGCAAGCGCATTCGAGGAACAGGCTACTAGTATCTCTTGCCAAGCAGACTCCATTTCTGGTGTCCATTGTCTCTCTTCCTGAGGGTTAGATCCCTTTAGTTGATCATAAAAGGGTTTCATAAGTCGTGGAGGTATACCTAATGCATTTCGCACCCATTGTATGGCCCCCACCAGCTTCTGAACATCCCACAGGGTTGTAATATGGGGTTTGATTTTTAATCCTTCCGGGATCACCGTTTCAGATCCAAACCTGTATCCCAGGAACTCAATTCCCGGTTCTCTCTGAATTTTTTCTTGTGAAATAACAAATCCAGCGGTAGTAAGCACATTAACTATCTGCTCCTCTAGCACTTGCAGCTGAGAATCACTTGGCGCTGCAAGCAACAGGTCGTCCATATAATGAGCAAGCTGACAGTTCGATAATGACTGTCGTACTGGTTCTATAACCTTGCCTACTACCAGTTGACAAATTATTGGAGAGCAGGTCATTCCTTGCGGAAGAACCTTCCACTGAAATCTTTGAGCGGGTCCCTGATTGTTTATGACGGGGACAGTGAATGCAAAAGCCTCTCTGTCCTGCTCCGCCAGTGGAATGGAGAAGAAGCAATCCTTAAGGTCAATGACCATCAGGGGCCATCCTTCTGGTATAGCCGAAAGTAGAGGTCCCCCTTGCTGAGCCGGGCCAAAAGGGACAAGTTGTGCATTGACTGCTCAGAGATCATGTAACAGTCGGAAAGATCCCGATGCTTTCCGAATTACAAAAACAGGTGTATTCCAGTTGCTGAGTGACGGTTCTACATGTCCTGCAGCAAACTTTCGTGAAACAAGCTGTACAAGCACTGCTAATTTATCAACAGGAAGGGGCCACTGATCCACCCAAACGGGAGATGCATCCTGTTTCCAACGCAATGGAATCGCATATTGCAGCGCTAAATGATGGACAGTGGCCCTTTTCATAAATTTGTCAGTTTTATTCCCAACTCAAGAAGGAAGTCCCTGCCTATCGGTGCTAAAGTAGGGAGGATGATTACATTTTTCTCCATAGAACCATCATCGTTGATGATTGCGAGCTCTACCACCCTGTCTGCCTTTCTGGTGGGCACATCGCCCCCCACACCCGCAATCGCTCTCCACATAAAAGTCGCGGGCCACTGCCGAGGCCAGTCATCTTCTGAGGTGACGGTAATATCCGCACCAGAATCGAGTAAAGCTATAAAAAACACCGTTCTGGGCACTGATGGCGGGAGCTCTGAATCCATATATGACATCATAACCTTAACGATTGGTCGTTCTTCTAAATCCATAGTTAATGCCACTGCGGGCGTTGCGCTTCTGGCCCAGCTAGAGATGATGGGAAGGAGCCCTGGGCCATTGGCACCCTCCCTCTCCCATTTCCCTGTGGCTTAATTTTAAATTTCCTACACTGACGTGCAACATGTCCGGCTCCGCCGCATAATTGGCACCGCTTCTCTAGTCCTTGCCCCATCTTCTTAGGGCACTGCGCCTTGAAATGGCCACGCTGCCCACACTTAAAGCACGGGCCTTTATCCCTTCCTTCCCCGGCCCGAGTGGCTGCCACCATCGCAGTCTTAACTGCCGAATTAGCTGAAGCAGCCATTCCCTGCATGGTGGCTACTAATCCCTCATTAGTTAATGGTGTGACCCTCTGATGGTCTAGTACATACTTAATAAGCTCCCCTGGGGTAGTTAGAGTTCCCGGCGCTGCTCTGATGATTTGCTGGATTTCCGGCAGTGATTTTTGTTTAAGACAATCTATTATGACTGGGGATTGGACCTCACTTGGGAGATCAGATCCCTCCACTGCACGAATTAGGCGATTCGCAAAGTCAGAAAATGACTCAAAGGGGCCCTGCTTGATGTCTGCCCATGGAAGCACAGGTTCCACAACCTTAGCCAATTCTCGCAGGGCTTGAAGGGCTGCAGTTGTAACGGCTGCCAGCTCTCCTGCTCTAAGCAATGCTGCTTGGCCCTCCGGGGATCCCACCATTCCATCTGCCAGGCTCTGAAGCCGTGCGAGACTAGTTCTGTCACCTCTACCCTGGCCATTAGCTGGATGACGGTGGTCACGGGTGGCAGCAGCCACCACAGCTTGAAGTAATCTATTCCATTCATCATACCACAGGGTGTATTGCACAGGTTCAAGAATAACATGCATAAAGTTCACTACATCATATGGCAGAAGACTAGAAGCCATAAGAGCTTCCACTGCTGCCATAGTAACCGGGGAACGCAGACCTTTGCTTTTAACTAAATCCGAAAGACGAGTGATCGCTTTGGAATCCAGAGGAGTCCAAGCTGGGCCCTCTGGTTTTACCACCACCGGGAGAGTGAGTGCGACACGTGCTGGATCTGCGGCCCGTATGTCCTCTCTCACACGAGCCCAATCAGTGAGGGTAGGCGGGCCCCATGAAACGACCGATATGGGACCACGCCCCTCCTGAGCGGACCCCGGGGCTATCTGCGTTGGAGCGCCCCTCCCACCACAAGGCAGTGCGGGGCCATCCACGCCCCTTGGGGGGTGACCGCCGTAGCAAGCGGATTCGGGCAATAGGTGAGTCCCGCCCCCGCTGTCGCGTTCCACAGGTCGCACCACAACTCCTCCAGACATCTCTCCCTCCCCAAGGACCTTCTTATCAACTGTGCTAGAAGTCATACCGAATTCCTCCGCCGACCCCCCTTCCCCATTATCTTTACAGGGCTTAAGAGAAGGATATACGCTGCAAGCCGGGTAAGGAGGTGGGTCCTCGCCTTTATGGTATGATCGCTCCTGCTCTACTTCGTTCTTCTTTATCTCCAGTGTCGTTGTTTCTGGTGGGGCTGAAGGAGTCAGCGCCATCTTGCCCTCCAGCGAACCTGTAGGGGAGACAAGACCCCCCCTCTGCCCTAACCCCAGCAGATCCCTAGCACGGTCATCTGCAATTTTCTCCTGTCTCGCTTTCCTAAGAGCTGTTAAAATCAATCCCCACACCTTCAACTCTGCTACTTTCTGAGTAAACATTGCCCTCTGTGAGAGTGCGGCAGTAAACGAATCCCAATTATCGGGATCGTATAAGTCAGAAGGGAATGATAATAGTCCCTCCTTCTCCAGTAAGGAGAGTGTCGCTGAAATTTCCTTCTTAGAAGGAACATTTTTCCCACAATAAATTTTGCATGCATGCAGAATCACCTTTATAACGGCTTCCATATCACCTCCGGCCGAACTTATGTCTGGCCTCTTCTTGGTGCTTCCCCTAACGTCCTAAGGGGATCCCGGCTCCTTTTCCCGAGCCTCCCGCCTGACGAGGAGTAATGGCCACCTCCTCCCCGTCCCCGGGCTTCCACTACTCCGCGGATTTGAATTTACCCGCTCCGCAATGGATTCCTGCTTCTGGCAGACAGCTGATTCACTCCCAGGAATCACGTCGGGGTCACCACTTGTTGCTGTACGCACCCGTTCCGCTTCCCCAGGAGTCCGCAGCTTGGCCAATTACCGAGATGACACCAATGTGATGAGCAGCAAATGGCGTTTATTACACGTATACACTAACTTATATAGCCTAATTACTTCGTCTACGCCCCTAAGGGCATGCACCACACAACAATCATTAGAGCAGGGAGGGAGTTTAGCATGTCACAACCCACGGGGGGGGGGAACTTGCAGTCTCACAGTTGCTGACAACAGCCCCACCTGATACTGTTGGTCTTTGGGGCTCCCCTGAGTTGCTGCATTGGCAGCAGATAACTGCTGGTTTGACTGCCTTAAGGGCTGTCAGGAAAGACGTCTTGTGCAAAACCCCTGAGCTACCAACTGCCAAGGAAGTTGGTATGTTCCCAGGAAAGACAGGAAGCAGACCATGGATGCGCAGCTACGGGATGTTGGTAAAGCCCAATCTCCTCTATCTTTCCCTTTTCCATCCCCATTTCCTCTCCGTCCCCATTCCGCTTTATCCCCTTTTCCTCCGCATCCCTGTTTCCCCCCTCTTTCTGCTCCGCCTTTGCCCCGCCTTTGCACCGCCTTTGCCCCGCCTTTGCCCCGTTTCTCTTCACCTTCCCCTCTCCCCTTTTCCCCTTTCTCCTTCCTTGTCCTCAGGTCCCCTTTTTTCCTTCCAGGTCCCCTTTTTTCTGTCCATTCGCCCCTTTTATCTCCCCTTTTATGCCCCCTTTTTCCCCTGCTCTCCTCTCTACTTTCCTATTCCTCGTCTCCTTTTCTTTTTCCTTCCCCACTCATTCTTCTTTTCCCCTTTCCCCCCTTGTCTTCCTTTCCCCTTTTCCCGTCTTTCCCTTCTCTTCTTTCCCCCCGTTCTTCTTCTTTTTGCCCCCATCTCCACTTCCCCTTTCACCCCCTTTACCCCTTTTCCAACCCATCTCCCTTTTCGCCCCGTCCCCGTTTTTCCATTTTCCTTTTCCCCTCCTCGTACTCATTCGTTTTTCCCTCCTTGTTCCCATTCATTTTTCCTTCCCCATCGTCCCCTTTTCTTCCAAAGCCGATTCCATTCACAGTGCGATGGCGGCTCCTGCCAGCAGCAGAGCACCGAGCAGCAGCGTTGCGTCTTGGCTCCCCCATTGCCCACTGCTGAGCTCTTCCTGCCCTGGCTCCTCATTGGCTGAGCGCTGCAGGTTCCCCTTTTTGGCGACGCTTCACCACTCGCACAAACAGCCAGCAGACGCACATTTTTGCTGCCCAAACACACGCAGGCCTTCATTGCTTCATTGCTTTCTCACCACTGCTCTCTTAACCAACGTGCGGTCGGAACTTGCGGCTCTCTGCTTTTCAGCATCAACACAGACACAGCCTCTGAATTGCTTCATTACCCCCTGCCATTCGTGCCCTTCCCGCTGATTGTCATTCTGCTCATCCGGCCGATTTTCCGCAGCGCTGAGCTCGACAGGAGGACAGAGGGGAGCAGCTGGGAGCCTCACAGCCTCCTCCTCACTTCCCCGTGCAGCGGGACAGCGCTGCTGCGTGCGACGGCCCCAACTCCTTCCTCGTCCCCCTTTTCCCGTTTTCCTCCCTCGTCCCCCTTTTCCTTTTGTCCTTCTCATGCACTTCTTGCTATCCCGCCTTTTCCTCGCCTTCCCTCATCTCTTCTTGCACTCTTTGACCCCATTTTCCTCCCCCCATCCTTATTTCTCTTCATATTCTCCTGTTCTTTTTTCCCCTTTCCTCTTCTTCATCCCCAGCTCTGCTTCCCCCCCACCTCACGTCCCCTTTCTTCTGTCCCTGTACCCCATTTTTCCCTTTTTTTCCCCACCCCCTTTTTTTGTTCTCTGCTGTCCCCTATTCCCTTTTTCCTCTTTGCTCCCTCTCTCTCCTTTCTTCCCCCTCATCCTGTTACAGAAGAGAGTGAAGGAATGATGGACAAGCTGGTGCAGGATGGCAGCAGCAGGGTGGAAGCCCAGGTGGGTGCGATGAAGCCGGGGGTGGGAGTGGGTGGAGCCAGAGCCCAGCCTGAGCTCATGGAAGGGCTGGGAATCGCAGGGCTCAGATGGGTGCCTGGGCTTCTGGTGTCAGGGAGGTTGGGTGAGCAGTGAGGTTTGGGAGGGACCGAGTTGTTGACCTTGAGATTGCTGCCCAGCTCCTTGCTCGTCGCATTCTGTTCGGCTGGAGGTTCCGGACACGGCTTGCTCTTCTAAGCAGTGTGAGGACTGCGAGAAAGACTTAGTTGGATGCAGCAGGAAAGCACAGCCGCTGGTGGATGCCAGTGTGCGCTCCTGAGGCTCTGCGCCAAGGTACGTGGATCCCTGCCGTCTCCTGTTTCACACGCTCGCTGAGGTCCTCGGGCTTGGTGTCGCTTGTCCCTCGTGCTCCCGTTGCTGTCACCGGGTGTTCTTCCTCTCCCCATGCTCAGCTCCGCCCAGTGCTGATGGGATGTCAGTGCCACCTGCTGCTCTTAATAAAAGGTAGGTTTGGTTTCTTTTGGTTTCCATAGCATTTGCTACACTTTCATTCTGTCTCTCTTCTTTTTTTTTTTTCTTTTTGCTCTGAATAAATGGCAGGTTCAATTCATTTTGGCTCCTGTAGTATTTGCTACACGTGTGTTCTGTTTCTCTTCTCTTTTTTCCATGTTGCCTGGCGGTGCCTCGCTGGAGTTCCCATGACCCCCGGGCACACTTGTGACCAAGTGAGGTGCCAAAAACAGAGGTATCTCCTCAACAGGCTTGTGCTGAGTGCTGTCCTCGTCTTGGGGTTTGTCCAATGCCCACCTTTCTTTTCTAACCCACTTTGTTGAGGACGGCGTGTGAGGCTTTCTTCTTTCTTTGTAGGATTGGCGACTTCACCACCAGAAGTAGCAGGCATTTTGGGATGTCCAAGGTTCCGCAGTGAACGTGTCCTGTTCCTGGTAAAGGTGTGGGCGTTCCTGGACACGAAGGTATCTATCTTCATGCCTTGCCCATGTGCCCAGTCCCCCACCAGATGCTGTTCGCCTTTTGGCCCCCCTGATTTGCTGCACTGCTGCGCCCTGATCCGTGCAGAGGGGTAAGTGACACCTTTGTCCCTTCCGGAAAGCGCTCTCCGCTTTCCTCTTGTTGGTCATCGGCAGCACCGTCCCTCTCTCGCCAGGCTCTCATTGGTCAGTGGCAACGCCGTCCCGCCCTTGCTAGCTTGTGATTGGCCATTGGCAGAGTGGTCCCGCCCCCATGTGCCTCTCATTGGTCACCGGCAGCGCCGTCCCGCCCTCGCCATCCTGCGATTGTCAGCGGCAGCGCCGTCCCGCCGTCGTCTGCCTGTGATTGGTCATCGGCAGCGCCATCCTGTCCTCGCCAGCCCGTGATTGGTCATCAGCAGTGCTGTCCCGCCCTCATGTGCCTCTCATTGCTGATCGTCAGCACCGTCCCGCCCCCTTGTGCCTATTATCGTTCATTGACTGCGCTGTCCCGCCCCCGCCAGCCTCTCATTGGTCATCGGCAGCGCCGTCCTGCCCCCTCCGACGTCTCAATGGTCACCGGCAGCGCCGTCCCACCTTCATGTGCCTCTCATTTGTCATCGGCAGCGCTTTCCCGCCGTCGCCAGTCTTTCATTGGTCATCGACAGCTCCGTACCACCTCCGCCAGCATCTCATTGGACAGCAGCAGCTTTTGCCCCGCCTTTTGCCCCGCCTTTTGCCCCGCCTTTTGCCCCGCCTATTGCCCGCCTTGTGCCCGCCTTGTGCCCGCCTTGTGCCCGCCTTGTGCCCGCCTT